CAACTGCTTACTATTTCCTGTCTTTAATTCCGGTCAGAGACTTCTCTCCCTACATGACGGAAGCTGCCCACTTGTGAGTATACATTCATTGTAGGCTGTGCGCCGTTGAAAAGTATCCAGGCTATCAACAGCCATTCCATGTACAGTCTGACCTTTAAACTACAATAAAAACGGCCAACTTGTGCGAGCACAGGAAGCTAAACACATCAACCCCAGCCAAATGTCACCTACTTGAACATATCTGTACATACATAATCATAAGTCATGGTGATACAAATGACAGCACTAAATACTTCAAATTGTGGTCAGTTTTAATGACTGGATGGAGGTGCGTTTAAGAAACATAAACATATTACAGTATTTCATCCAATCACTCAGAGCTCCAGATAAGAATTAGCTCATGTGGGTACTGTACCCACTGTATTTTTTTGGAGTGGGTATTATGAATGTTGAGTGGGTATTTCATTTTCCGTTACCCACTGCTTTCAAATATTTGCGTATTTCAGTCATTTTACTCACCTAAGTATTATGTCATTGAGTAAGTTTACTAAGCAGGTATGTCCTGCCTTATGTCATACCTAATCAAAACCAACTTAAATATAATGGAAATGATTTCATAAAAAATCACTCATCCTATACTGACAGTACAACACTTGTCCTATACTAACAGTACAACTTGATAGCAATCCATGTCTTTTTCATTACGCAAGCGATTTTTATAAATATATTCCGTACGCATTTGTTTTCAACTTTTTGCGTATCTAACATTTTAAATGCGTAATTGGTACACAACAATTATTTTTCAATGCGTAATTGGAAATTTTCTATGCGTATTTTACTTATCTGGGCCCCTGCAATCACAGTTGTCACACGTGTCTTCAGTTACGGCCCGGTTCAGCGAGCATGCGGTTCAGCCCTAGTGTTGTGCATAGACATTCACGCACGTTTGGTACATGAATTTGCTAACAGCTACAATCGTTTATTGTTCACAGATATAAATACTCAAAACTTCGGAGTTGTCCCGTGTGTACCAAATTGCGAGTGAAATCTATTTGAAACAGCCTAGTGATATCTCACCCTTTAACAAAATGCGCTCTGATATTTCACGGCTTTTGACCTAATAAAATAGCATCTAAATTCCCCTCATATGCATAACGTCATATTAATGCTATACGTCGATATAAAAGATTTTGCTGTGTGAACACTCGAGTCAGCAAACTCATACCACTCATAAAATAAATAATACCGAGTTGAAAACATAATTTCTGAATGGACCACTAATATTGAGTCAGGGGGATAGAGTCATGGGCCCTGATTTTCTCACACCTAGAATGAACTCAAGGTATACATTTGACCATACAACTGTGTGATAATGTCATATTTCAAAATAGAGGATAATACTGTGACTCATCTCAAAGGGGGCTTCATGGTTCAAAACTCAAAATCGATTAGGTCGCAAAAAGGTCACACACTTGTGTGATTACCTCATAATTCAAAATGGCGGATCCGGGCTTCGATACCCCCTATACAACAGTAAATCCCAGTTATATATGGGTGTTGCCCTAATTAATCCCAAGTCCAGTGTCTGGCAATTGGGATGTCTAACACATGGGAGTAAACCTTTCTTTATATAAAAGTCGGTCATCCCTAGTAAAAGAGACTGGTTCGAATTTGTATTCTTTCCTCCGACCATTTTTAACAACATGTTTATACAGATATACGGTACAATATAAAAATGAGTTTATAATATAACAACTGAAGGTAGATCACCATACAAGGGACAATGGGTTAGGACTCTCCAAACTTGAACTCGTTTTAATGAATCAAACTGAGAAATGCTCACCCAGAATGTCCAGACAGACAGGGGCAGTCACCGTCATTCCAGATCAGTGTCAGAATTTACTTTGGTGTATACTCGACACATCTTTATTATCTCTAATGATCATCCAGTTGATCCGCGATGTCTACCAACAAATCTCCACAGGTATATTGACAACTTTGGAAATCTCACCGCCACGTTGATCGTGTTATTTACTATGACACACGGGCAAGGTGGCTGCATGAGAGTCATTTCTTATCTCATGGCAATATTATTCAAATATTCCCACATCCATGTTCCGAGAGTTTTGCCAACACTATGAATGTTTATACTCCAGTGAAATCACACAAAAAAATCAATAATTTATCTTTCTCAATCAGAATTTAACTTTGCCAGGTAATTAGAGGTTAATTAGGTCTGGGACATGATGTTTTCGTGAGCTACGTGACATATGATCCTGTGTTTGCCGAGGTGGCAGGCATGTATACAAGAGAGTCCGGTAATTTTGCGCAGCTGCAATAGCGTACTTCCGTATCGAAGTAAACATTGTCTGCTACCACATTTACGCTTGAAATCGGGACATTTTACAAGGGGCTGGCTTTTAATCACTAAAGGTAAGTAAATAAGAGTAATTGACAGATAAATTGGCAGTTTTATGAAAATTCGTATTCTTCAGACTTTTAAACCTTTTTCTTCATTAATCATAATTGGATTTAATATGAAACACTCTTCCTAACATTGATGAAGTGATTTTTGAAAATAATCTGACCCTAATACGCTTCCATACTTCGGATCTCCAGTTGGATGTTATGCGCATCAGTTGCGCAGAATTACCGGACAGCAAGCGATGTCGTCAGAACGCCGGTAAGGTCAACCGTATGGCATAATGCAACGTTAGAATCGTATAGTCAATAAAACTTATATTTCTAGGTAAATATGATGAATACCAGCATGATTAGTCACGTAAACCACAAAACTAAGAGACGTTAGTTGCCGTGTTGCGATCGATGTGCTTAGGTGCGCGGAATTACCGGGCGGCATTGTAATATAGAACACTGTACACATTAGACGGGGTTGTTGTATGACATTGTGCACGGATACGACTAATGGCTCTCAATGGCTTCAAACAAACTCCATTTATATTAGTGTAATAAGTATACGCTCCTAATTAGTGGAATGTGCTTTTGAGAGTGTCAGTGTGTGCTCGGGTGTAACTTAATGATGTTGCTAAAAATGAACACAATTAATTCACTCACTACCGTGGAAGGTCAATTAATTCGTTTCAAGCAATTTCTTCTTTTCTTTGGTTAAGATTCGCCCCCACACCCACACCCACAGCGCGAATAGCCAATCATTCCTTTGTCATTTCTCACAACTTACTGTCAATACGTTTACAGCATATACGGTTTTGATATTGGCTTATATGTGCAAAACTGTGTCCCCGTACGTATTATCGTGTAAAGATATACCCGATGTTTCTGACCCGTGAAGGTCCGGGTTAGAATTGATCTTCAGTAAGCCATGCTTGTAAGAGGCGACTAACGGGATCGGGTGGTCAGGATCGCTGACTGGGTTGACATGTCATCGTATCCCAATCGTGTAGATCGATGCTCATGCTTTTGATCACTGGACTGTCTGGTCCAGACTCGATTATTTACAGACCGCCGCCATATAGCTGGAATATTGCTGAGTGCGGCGTTAAACTAAACTCGCTCGATCACTGTTTGGTTAAAACTCGCCGACCTCCATATCCCGCGAATAGCCCCCCTTTGTCAGGTCTTGCAATTTACACGGTTTTGGTATTAGCTTAAAATGTTCACAACTTTGTCCTCGTATCATCGTGTATAAATATACGCAATGTTGCCATTTCTCAGTGCCTGTTGAATAATAGTGTTAAATATATATTGAAATAAGTTTGATTGAAACCTCAGTTAGGCAAATCCTTTCCCGCACCTTGTTTACGTCAATGTATGAATCGATAGCCGTTAATTCTAGAATGTGTTAATCCAACCGATTTTACTGGGAAGGATATCGTCCGGATTAATAGGGTTGCACTGTTCGGAGTTCAAATCACTGACATATACCAGAATGATTTAACTTGTTTGACTGGCATTTAGAATTTGGTGTGATGAACAACGAGGAGAGTTCTATGGATATACAACTTCTTTAATATAATATGAGCGACGTTTCGGTGTAGCTACTAACACCGTTTGCTTGATAACGCTGTTAGTATAGCTCTCCTCGTTGTTGGAATGATTTATCCTAGACCCTTGGCAAATTGATACATGTCCCTTAAACCAAGATGATTTATATTATCAATTAATTATATGACTTTGAATGATTTAAAAAAATGTTTTAATGCATACTTGTCGTAAATTATATGGGGGCTTTTTAAGTTTATTGCTAGAGTTATTACAGGGCACAAATAAACATTGCAAACTAAATATGTTGATCTGTTAAAATTTGCAGTCGATGTCATCATGTCCGTTATTACTTATTTATGATGCTGTATCTGGACCCCCTATAGTTTGTCTTTATGAAATATGTGGAGGTTGACAAATTGCATGGTTATCTAATCGATACAGTCATTGATAACATAATGTGACATCGTCTTTTGTTGGTTATCAAGTCATGTAAGCAAAGCAGGTAACACAAAAGCCGATGCTGCAGCTAAAGCGGCTCTTGATAACCTCTATCGCAATTGCAAGGGATTCACATTATCAAGCAGTGAATCTTATATAATTAATCACTTGAAACAAATTGATCTGTACCATAAACTATGAATATACATAATATGTATGTATGTACATTAGTTACTGCTTGTTTGTAAATTTTGGGCTTATGGCCCGTACAGTAGATTGTAAATAATATTGTTAAGTTGCCCATGAGCCCGTGTTCTAAATTGTAAATAGATAGTATATTGAGTTTGAAATGATGTATATGGAAACTTGTTTTTGAATGTAACATTGCATAATCCTAGATTTGTATATATGTCAACTTGGTCTCGTCGCTATGTGCTGAAACATGTCGATGCAACATCACTCACTCACTCACTCACTGGCTCACTCACTCACTCACTCACTCACCACTCACTCACTCACTCACTCACTCACTCATATGGACAAATCACAGGTCCGGTCATAAATGTTCGTGATGAATTAATGTTCGTATGAATCAGAGGATGGACTGTTTCAGTGAGTGTGAATTCGTGGGTGAGTGAGTGAGCAGATTGTTCGGTGAGTGAGTGCGTGCGTGAGTTGGTGTGAGAGAGTGTGAGCTGATTGTGCGGTGCGTGAGTGGGTGCGTGAACTGGTGTGAGAGTGTGTGAGCTGATTGTTCGGTGAGAGCGTGCGTGAGTTGGAGTGAAAGTGAGTGAATGAATGGGTGGGTGAGTGAGTGAGCAGATTTTCGGTGAGTGAGTGCATGAGTTAGAGTGAGAGTGAATGAGCAGATTGTTCGGTGAGTGCGTGCGTGGGTGCTTGCGTGAGTTGGAGTGAGAGTGAGTGAGTGCGCGCATGCATGAGTTGGCGGTGAGAGAGTGAGTGAGCAGAATTGTTGAGTGAGTGAGTGCGCACGTGCATGGTTCGGTGAGTGAATATTAGTTACAGTGTGGGTGTTTCAAAGAGGGAGTGAATGAATGGGTGGGTGAGTGAGTGAGTGCGTGCGTGAATAAAATGGTGGTGCTTAGTACATTCAATTAATAAAAAACACCATTTAAGTTGTCGCACATTATCGTATAATGTATCTAAAAATATAACCCAAACAAATTTAGATTTGAGTGAGCAAAGTAATTTCCATTCTGAAACAACCATTGTCATTGTCGTATAATGTATCTAAAAATATAACCTAAACAAATTTAGATTTGAGTGAGCAAAGTAATTTCCATTCTGAAACAACCATCGTCATTGTATCAAGTATCCAGGACTCCCGAGAGACGACGGTTCCTTCTAGGTTTTATTCAACACATACACGATTCAAATGAGTATAAGCACAGCGGCATATCACTATGGATACAGAAGAAAAGTAAACAGACCCGATATGATTGGTGGAACAAAGCTGCTTCAAAGTAAAGAAGATGAAGATGAAGAGCAATAAGCTGATCCAGGTTAATGAAAACACCGAGTAAATAAGCCTGACTCTAATTCCAGAGACTGGTATCTCCCACGCCTTTAGAAGACGAGACGTGTGTTACCAGGGTATCCAATAGCTTGCGCTGACGCGCGTCTTACAGACTTACAATGACCATAACAGGATGAGTTGATCACGGTATGTTCTATCATTGCAAACTGATGGTTCCCAGACACGCTCTGACCGGGTTGACCAAAAGTTTAGACCTAACTAATGAAGGGCTACTCTGTACAGCCTGAAGCTATGAAAAGATTCGATTACTAATTACACAGTTTGCTTACTATGGAACCTATTGACTCACAGTGTGAAGCTGAAATGTAAGGCATTTCAAAGGACATGTTCTGGTATAATGTGCGATACGAATAATTAGTCGCGTCGACTCGTATTGAATTTAGATATTAGTGAGAAAGAATGTACTAGGACAACCAGTACTGAAGCGGACAAGGAAGAGACGGTGTTTACTGGACACAGGGAGGGTTTTCTTTTACACTGACCTTCTATATTGTATCAGCGTTTGCTGTCGTCCACGATGGAGAGCAGCACTTCTGCTAACGTGTCCATAGACGTTGACTTGACATCGGAACCTATTCCTGTGATCAGGATTGTCCTCGGGGTCATCCTGTACATCCTTGTGGTTATTACAGTCCTTGGGAACCTTCTGGTCCTCCTGGCTGTTTACAAAGACAAACGCCTGCAAACGGTATTCAACTACTACATCGTCAACTTGGCCATCACCGACGTTCTTGTGGCGCTGACGGCAATGTCCCTGTATACAACGGACAACATCCTCGGGCATTGGCCTCTCGGCGAATTCATGTGCGGATTGTGGATCTTCTTCGACTACGGCATGACGTTTGCGTCGGTGTTCACGCTAGTGGTCATCTCGGTTGACCGTTTCTGGTCAGTCCAGTGGAGCATCCACTACCGCCATCACCACAACAAGAGGAAAACGATGGTTCTCATCGGTTTGATTTGGTAAGTACTTGTCAAATTATGAAATTCGATGTAACACAATCACAATTTAAAGAGTGACGTACTTTCACCTTTCGCGAACAGGGCGGTGAGGTACCCTAGTGGTTAAAGCGTTCGCTCGTCATGCCAAAGACCCGGTTTCGATTCCCCACATGCGTACAATGTGTGAAGCCCATTTCTGGTGTCTCCCGCCGTGATATTGCTGGAATATTGCTTAAAACACGGCGTAAAACCCACCCACCCACTCACTCACTCATTTTCAGCGGATATTCGACACTGACTATCATCCGAAATAGACCTTTTATATACACTATTGTTATACAACACCTCTGACAACATATTACAATCTAAACAGTAACTTCATAAACCGATTTTGTTATTCTACCAAATCTTTTAACTTTTAGATAGTTCAAACTTTCTGTTTATTTGTTTCTTCTGCTGATAGTGTCATTTGTATACGGTCGGTCGAATCGCTGAAAGGAAATATTTGTTCCTGTACAGACAGCGAGTGGAGCCATTTGCATATTTCAGTTATCTCTGGGGTAGATACTGAAATGTTTGAACCACTATGTCTTTCATCTATGCGCGATAAAATGATTGATTGTTTGTTGTTAGCAACATTCCAGCTATATATCGGTGGTCTGTAAATAAATAAGTCTGGGCCAGAAAATCCAGTGATCAAAGTGAATGAGCATCAATCAATACAATTGGGATACGATGACATGTGGCAACCAAATCAGCGAGCCTGACAATGTGATCCCGTTAGTCGCCTCTTACGACCAGCTTTGGTTGCTGAAAACCAATTCCAACTTAGATCTTCACGGGAAGCGATAGAATATGTATCTTTAATAAATTTCAGTTTCAATGCAAAATCACAATTATAGATCACATTTCTTAAAAAAAGCAAAAAACAGCAAGGAGATTTAGGTAAATATAAAAGTCCATTGTCTACATACAGAGGCAACAGATCTATGTTTCAAAAGGAAACAAATACCGTTCGTGTGTGGTATTATGTAATTGAAGAATCGTTTCCTATTGAAACAAATTTACATCACTATCATGTGGCATAATGGAAGTTGAGATCAGCTTGGGATAAAATCAATTCAACACTGGTCATAAATTCATCTTCCTCATTTAATATCGAAATTTAGGCAAATATGAAAAAACCCACATAAGCGTACATACAGATCCCAGTAGTAATAAATCTATATTTGATAAGGAAACAAACACAAATTGTTTTCTATTGAAACAATTTATATCACTAAGATTTAGAAAGATGGAGGTAAATATCAGTTGGAGGTGATATTTAATTTGGTGATAAAACTACGATCTCAGTTTGCTTGACAATAATTCAACACTGGTTGATCATTCATGTTCTGCATATCAATATCTACAATTCTTGCAGGTTTACTTAGCTGCTCACTGTTTAGCTCTACACTAAGTAATAACACATCTATATGACAGCCGCTTGTTAAATGTTGTCATCGAGTTTTGACCCCCAAAAAAAAAATACAAGACAGCTCCAGGGAAACATGAATTTGTGCGCAGGATTTACCAAGCGGAAATGCATTGTTTGCAGGGATTTATTGATTTTTTTTTTCTGAAATACGTTTCTGAAATTGCTCGGCTCACACTTTTACGAAGGAATTATTGCGTGTTTTGAAGCAGTGATCAAAGATATATGCAGACCTTCCCACCAAAGAACTTAAGAAACATGTTGTTTAGTTATTGTACCAGTTAAGCTGCCTGTTTCTATTCTAAACGTGATTGTGTTGTCGACAAAGGACATGTGCAGTGTATAGACCGCTAAAGAACATCAATAGCAAAAGTGGTATAACATTATTGATTACTGCAATCCTTCAATAAGCTAAGTGATCCACGTGTAGAGAAAGTGACGCCAGCAACTGCGAGCTATGGGGAGCATTCATCGATAGTTATTCATACTTTTCTTACAACGATAACGTTGAAGAATCGCCATCATCAACGATTCCACACACACTTTCAATATTAAAATAAAAAGATTACGGCAGTAGGGAATCAAACCCAGACGTACGAACACTTCATCCTCTGGGCTACCCAACCGCTCCAAGACGGTTCAGACGGATCACATAATATCAACGGAACATTATGTATATGATAAAGTGTTGGTAAAGTCCTAGTAATGACGCTTTCACCTCTTGTATTACGAATTGATAATATTGACATGAACCTAATTCCAGAAAAAGAATTTAGCAAAGAACGGATACGAATTTCACACGCAAACACTCTCCAACAGTAAGCATGCACTCTCCGACAGTAAGCATGCACTGTCCAACAGTAAGCATACACTAAGCACGCATTCCCCGACAGTAAGCACGCATTTTCTGACTGTAATCACGCACTATCCAACAGTAAACACGCACTATCGAAAAGTAAGCATGCACTAAGCACGCATTCCCCGACAGTAAGCACGCATTAAGCACACACTTTCCAACAGTAATCATGCACTAAGCATGCACTTTCCAACAGTAATCACGCACTAAGCATGCACTTTCCAACAGTAATCACGCACTAAGCACGCACTCTGCGAAGTAATCACGCACTAAGCACGCACTCTGCAACCGCAAGCATTCTCCGACAATTATCAAGCACTTTCCAACAGTAAGTACGCACTAAACACGCACTCTCCGACAGTATGCACGCACTTTCCAACAGTAAGCACGCACTCTACAAAATTACTGAACCAGTCCCGGCTACTCTCCTGTATTAACACTCATTCGTGGTGGCATGGTATGCATCACTAACTGACCTTCAAGATTGTTTGGATTCTCTACATGCATATTGACTAACGTGGGGTTTAAATGTTATCAAGGGATAAATCAATAGTTATTATTTTCAGAAAGTATTTTTACCCGTTAATCAGAAATATAATCCCTTTAACACACATTAAATTTCGTGAGTCACTCTATTTACCTGAGGGTTACACTTTTTGCAAATATTAAACACAATTAAAGGGATCTAATTAATATATTAAAACGTTCTTCTGTTTAGGGAGTGCTGAGCTATGATTTTGGAATTTGAGGGAATGTTTCTAAAGTGATTGTTGGGTGCGAAAGAAAGCGAAAGTCATATCCATGTGTCTGGGAAAACAGGTATATTCCCATTGCTTATCAAACAGCAAGTGCAAATCGTAAGTTATTTATTTAAATAATTACACTCAGAATTGTATTTTACAAAATGTTTAAATATGGCTAAGCCAATTTCTTCACAGTGTCGTGCGAAATGACAAAGATCTAATCTCACAATGTTTTAATTGTATTTGGCTACGGCCATCATAAGTGTACCATATAGTATTTATACCTATACTCAGACATGTGATAATCACTTAGCTTATTGGCAGGGACTGTCGGATAATTAAGTTGTACTGTATTCTATAATCAATATAAGTTACTACTTAAATAAGAAAGGTATTTAAAATGGATAGGCAATTGTAATGAAACTTAGAACGTAGTTTCACACATTCACACGCTGTCATACATCTGTTAAGAACACCAAGCATGCTCTAATTCAGGGAATATGATAAGGAGGATGATAATGTGAGTGAGTTAGTACGGTTTTGATATTAATATTCTAGCAAGTATCACAGCGGGGGGCGCCAGAAAATGGGCTTCACACTTTGTACCCACGTGAGAAATCGAACCCGGATCTTCGGCGTGACGAGCGAACGCTTTAACCACTAGGCTACCCTACTTATTCCGTGGTACTGCTGGAGTGTTGCTTAAAGCGGCTGAAAAGTAAACACACACACTCACTCGTCATGTTAGTTCCAATACGTCAAGCTTTGTACTTGCAAGAGGTCTTTCGTGGTTAGTGCTATCAAATGTTTCCAATGCTTAATGTGGAGGAAGCGACAACGTTTCAGTGGACGTCCTGTTGGGATTCAGACTCAATTCCTTAGACATCCCATTACCATCAAACCGTGATCTTATTATCCATCTACCACAAATCTAACATTACGATGACGTGCACAAGTCAATATTGACCACGTCCACTCAGGTGCACTAAGTACCAAGGAAACACCAACAACTAATGGTGTCCACTGTGGTCACTGTAACGTATTTCCAACCCACCATCTCCTGCTGGTAATGGCATGAAGTGACGCTGGAACATCAGTCACTTGTCTGTCGGCTATCCGACAAAGGAAGCTGTTGGATTACTAATTGTCAGTTGAAGTTTCTTAATATAGGATATGATAAATGAAGCATTAGGGCACTCAGTGGACTACTCAGAGATTGCTCATGATATCTGAGTTCGAAATGTGATCCCGTCATGAAAATCGCCATTGCGTTATATACAGCCATGTTACGGAAGCCTAACGGTGCTGTATTGGTAGCATTGATTTATTTCTTAATCGTACATTCTCGTTATTTGAAACATTTTTTGACATTTATTTCAAGGCAGATGTTTTTTGCCGTAATTTCCGATCCTAATTTCTGAAATATGGCTTCTTGAACATATCATATACAGAACAGCTATGGATATTTTATTAATTTCTTAGATAAAAGAAATCATACCAATAAGGAAGAGAGTTTTCATGGATGCCAACTTCTTTATTATGAGGGAGACAAGGTTTCGGACCATATGCTTACTCCTTCATCAGCGGGGGCGGTGGGGTAGCCCAATGGTTAAAGCGTTGGCTCGTCACGCCGAAGACCCGGGTTCGAATCCCCACATTGGCACAATGTGTGAAGCCCATTTCTGGTGTCCCCCGCCGTAATGTTGCTTGAATATTGCTAAAAGCGGCGTAAAACCAAACTCAGTCTGTCAGTCCTTCATCAGCGCTAATTCACTCTTAAGTGCCGGCTTCCATTTGTCCTTTGCCAATCACACATCAACGTCAGTTAACTGTTGACGTCCATTGTTTAGCCTGCATCTTTGTTGTCTTATTACTTTTGTTGTTCTTTCATGTACATACCCGTGAAGGTCCGGGTTAGAATATTGATCTCCAGTAACCCATGCTTGTC